ATGGGCACCAAAATTTCTGTCTATACCACGCAGCGCGCTGAGGTCAAAATGAGTAGGGGGATACTGATCTGATGCAGAGTTGCGTTTCTATTTGGTTATATGCAGAAACATTCCCTGAATTTAAGTAGTGTTTTTTTTCATCAGTCATACTGATCTGTGTTCTGAAACTCTGGAGACACGAGTTTGAAGTAATAAAATAGCATCTGAATTTTAGATTCAGTCAAATTAATGGCTACACAGTTACCTTTTTGGTCAACAAAAAGTTATCTGTGATGTTTCTGTGATTTTCCATCCTGGATCAAGTGAGCTCCAGGCCAACAACTTTAACATGTTCTTCAGTCGCAAAAAGAAAGAAAGAAACTCACAATCATCTTATGCTACTTTGTCCCCTTGCCCTCCTCCAGCTTCAATGAGTTGGCAAGCATTTGGATTTTGATTTATTCTTTAAATATATTAAAATGAGATTTCTCACTCCTCGCAAATAAATATACACAATATGTTTGGATCATCCATGCAAGGATAGGCCAAATTGAAGTCAAATTAACACACTATCGTGGATCAGGCATAGCCATGGCGGCCATATAACTTGGACATGGCGGCCACCTGCTGCTGCCAGGACAACATCAGACGAGGAAAATGCATAGTGCGGCAATGCTGGCCGCTTCGACTTTTTCGCCTCTATCGATCTCCTTCCTCTTGCCAACCATGGCTTCTTTTTCAGTAGAACTAGTGTGCTGCGACTGTCGGTGTGTGTGTGTGTGTGCGCGGCAGTGTGGGGCCTTTATGTTGTTGGACAATATGGACATTTGACTTAGATGGCTCGTAATCTAGCCGATGGAGTATGCATAGCGTTTCACTGTTTTTGCAGCGAAGCGAATGGCCGGGCATTTCTAGTTGAGTGTTCTTTTTTCTGTGAGCTTTGTTATATTGGTAGTTGTCTTCTCTTTCATTTCATAACCTGTGTTTGTAAGAACATGACATGTGAGGAATGAATCGGCACAGGCTCGCAACGTAATGGCACTCGTGTTTGGGGTAGTTCTGTGTGTGTGTGTGAGTGTGACATTGATAAACGATAAATGGTTTCAGCAACCGCACCTTGCAGAACCAACTAATTATATATACCACTAGTGATCGGGTGCATCCACTATATGCATCACGAGTCATTTCACCATCCTTTTTCTATTTCAAGCTACCAATAGAAAAATGCAAGGGAAAACAATTCATTACGACCACCGATCAAGTGTGCTGCCTCCATTCTCCAGTCACTGAGGCTCGACACCCTCGTCATCAATTGTTAGCAAAAGTAATGCAAAACAACACCAAAAAAAGGGATCAGGTTATAGCTTAAGAGTAGGAGACATCGGGAAAGGAACAATCAATATGAAATGGAAACAGGAGACTTCGGTGTGCGAAGGCTTGAGAAGATACCATGCTGCCTTCGACCAGTCTACGTGCCTGAGGGCCTTAGCAACACTGCCTGGCCTACCGGGAGCGCACATTACCTTTGTCGTTGTTTCCTCATCCACATTCTCCATCAACGCGTGTGCAAAGTATTTCTCGGTGTCTTCTCATAATGGAAGACTCGGCACAATACTTCAATGGATATGATGGCTACGAAAGCATTCACCTTGGTGAGATGGTGGCCGAGGGCATGGAGACAGGGGTAAGTGACGAGTTGCACCAGCTTTGGGCAGCCATTGAACTCTAAAATAAATACAAGGTTTTCGTTCTGGCCTTTAGAGCCCATTTATCTCTTAATGACCTTTTTTATAGGACCCCAAGCAAATGATCCCGTTTTGTTTGTGGGATTGCTGTGTTGAGAAGCATTGCCCTCTACAACCTTTGTTGTTTCAGCAATCGCAGTAGTACGCAAATGATCAAATTAGTTTATAAAGCAAAATATTAGTTAGATCTCAATCAAATTCAAATGGAAATTCCGGTCCTTTGAAAACTGAAATCACTGAATTCCTGTCATCGGGATGCTTTTGCACGGTTTGGATTATACTCCTTTCTTACCGTCTAACGTATGCTAAAGTGGTGATGACTTCAAAAGAACCGGCAATCGGCCGACCATCACGGTTTTTAGCATTAATTATTAGCTTCCACGGTATCAGCTTGGGGGAAAGTTCCCAGGTCGTTGTATGAAGGCATGGATGATTTTTCATTGAGCAGGCATCTCAGGCTATCAAAACAGCGGGACTAAAAACAAAAGGATTTTATTATTCAATGCAATGGGAAATATGTTGCAACAGTTTACAGCTGTTCAAAATATTGGTGAAGAATGCTGGAGAAATGGTGGAGGTACTTTTGTCAAGGCCGATGACGGCTTCAGTGTTTCTCCATGTGAAGGTACTTTATTGATCTTATTATATTTGTTTACAGAGGGAGTAATATTTTAAAATTTTAGTGGTGGTTGATGTTTGTTAGATTTACAATTATTTGTGTGGTCAATGGCAGATCAGTCAAACGTTTTCAAAGTTGCAATAAAATATTCCAATGTCAAACGAAAACGGTTCCTCGAGTCTATCATACTTCCATCATTTTCCATGCTGAGTTCAGCTGCGTTGAACTACTGATATTAACTCAAACTTACATACTGCAGAGTATAAAGGAATACAAATTATCACAAAACATGCATTAAGACCCA